AAGAAGATAGGCTGATGGTTGTTTCTGGAGAAGGTGCAGGAGGGCTGTCAGACTATCTTTTGGACCACTGATCGCACCACCATCTCCCTGCCCTTGGACTGTGGTCATGTCCTCTATGGTCGTGTCCTTTCTTGCTTTGCCGTACCTGCTGCAGGGCAAAGTCACCCACTGGTTTAACCAACTCTGCCTCCTTGGACCCATCTGTGTATAGCTGAACATGGCTGGAGAAAACAAGCAAGCCCCACTGACTGGTGTTTAAAATATGACCATCACACGTAAACTAATATCATCGATACTCCTTTTGTGAGCTCATTTGATACAATGGTTTTATATACCATCTAAACACTGACATTCTGGAACTCAGATCTCCCACTTAGAGCTCTTTCCTAAACTCCAGCCTCTCACATTCCAGCGCCTGTGTAACAGCAGATGCTGAGGTACAAAAACAGGCAACTCAAACTCAACAGATCCAAAAACAAGACTCTCTATCTCCTCCCAGAAAACCTGCTTCTCCTCAGTCTTCCACATTTTGGTTAATGGCAACTCCATCCTTCAGTCACTATGGCTAAAACTCCTTGGAGTTATGCCTGAGTCCTTTCTTTCTCTCATGCCCTACATTTAATCTATTGGCCAATCCTGTGGGCTCCATCTTTAAAGTACATACCTGTTCCAACCATTTCTCACCAGCTTCACTGTTACCACCCAGGTCCAAGTCACCACCATGCCTCACCTGGATTAATGCGAGAGCCTCTTCACTGATCTCCCTGCTTCCACACCAGCTTCCCTTCCAGTCCATTCTCAGCCAGCCTAGTGGCCAGACTGACTGTTTTCACAGGAAAGTCAGTCCACGTCTTTCCTCTGCTCAGAACCAGCCTGTGGTTTCCCACCTCACTCCGACTAAATGCAAAGCCCTCACAAGGGCCTGGGAGGCCTCGTCCAACCTAGGCTGTTACGCTGCTGGCCTTTTCTCCTACGCTCCCTCTTTGCATTTCTGTCCTTTCCAGAACAGAAGACAGCTTTCTCTAATCATCCAAATGACAAGCTCCCTCCCTCTCCTCTCTTAGGTTGCTTCTCAAACGTCACCATCTCAGTGAGTTCTTCTTGACCTCCTGATTTAAAACTGAATCCTTCTGTGCAATGCACCGTAACCATTTGCTGTATGAATGAATCTCACTATTTTATTCTAGGAAAAGGCCCCAAAGATTATGACCCAAGACTCTAAAAGTTAAATGTTACCAGAAACCACCACCATACTCTTCACAGGAACGGTCATAATGGCTACATGCCCTGAACTATTTTCAGGATCACTTAATTTTCTTCAGATATCACTCTTTGTCACCATATAGTCTCCCTCTATCTGTAGTCATGTTTTCTGTTCAGCATATTTGTCTTTCAGGTCTCCCAACTCTAAAGCATTTTGTATTCTTGTACATCTTCTTTCCATTTGTCTCTAACAACAGTGATAATTTTTATAATCAAAATTAACCGTTTGTGTAGCTTACAGATTTATACTTCTACTAGCTAGTGTCTTTTAAAAAATAATTTTCCTCTAGTACCAGCAATTTACTATAAATCTGTAGTTTTATATTTACAGAATGCTGTGATTACTAAACATTCTAAGAGGAATATTAGGTAAATGTTTCTTAATGATATTTGACAATGACTTTCTAAAAATGTGGTTTCATGTTGTAAACACCTCTGAATGGTTTCTTCAGCTTTGGGAGAGTTTTGGATGTAATTCATATCATGAATATCCAGAGGTTTATCTATGTCAGGGCTGACAGTGTTCAGGCAACCTACTATTACCGAACATGGACGAAAAAAAAGAGTGACCTTTTCTTGCATATAACTAGTATATAGTTATATGAGGCCTCACACCAAATACTAACGTTCTTCTCAATGAGACCTCTGTTATGGACTGAATTGTGTTCCCCCTGTTTTACACGTTGAAGCCCTAACCCACATAATTTGCAGATTGGGCCTTCAAGAAGTTAGAGTTACGTGAGGTCAGAAGGCGGGTTCCTGAACCAATAGTACTGGGGCCCTTATAAGAAAAGGAGGAGACACCAGGAGCATGCATCTACAGAGGGGAGGCCAGCTGAGGACGCAGCGGGAAGGTGGCCGCTGCAAGCCAGGAAGAGAAGCTTCGGGAAAAGCCAAACCTGCTGACACCTGATCTTGGACTTCCAGCTTCCAGAACTGTGAGAAAATAAATTTCTGCTGGTGAACCCACACCATCTCTAGTATGTTGCTATGGCAGCATGAGCTACCTAATAAAATCTCTTTGTGAAAAATGAATTAACTGCAGGATGAATGAAAACTGGCAACCTTCTTACTTCCCATCCCAGAAATAACCTGTGTTCACATAAACTAGTGCTAATACACAAGTGTGCCCTAATCCCAACCTCCAGACGTTCACAGGCAACTGCAGAGATCTTATCTACATGTGTCAATTATGGCTGGGAGGTGGGGGTAGGCAGAGATACAAAGGTGAGAGAGGGTTATTTTGCGGTTACAAGAGCTAAGGTTTGGCTGTATGCACAACCACTGCAAATGTAAAGGGGCACTGGGGCCATAAGTAAATAGAGAAGCCCAATAATATTACAAATACGGAAATCTTACAAAACCCAATCTTTCAGATCTTGAAATCCCTCAAATTTATCTTCCAAAACATGTCAGCATGTTAAAAAGCATCACAATTTAAAGCTTGAATGAGGTGAATTACCAATGTTAATGGCGGTTTCTTGCTTGTCCCCTGTAAGGATCCAGATTTTGATGTCTGCTTTCATGAGAGTTTCTATAGTTTCAGGCACTTGATCTTGTAATTTATCCTCAATGGCTGTAGCTCCAAGTAGCTGAAGATTCTGGGGAAAAGGAGTGGAAAAACTGTTAAGAAAAAAACCAGTTTAGATTCTTTAAGAATTGAACTGTATATGTCTTTCAATCAGAGACTAAATGGTAATACATAGACTTTGATATAAATTCCAACTATTCCATTGAGTTTTCTCTTAAGGATCCCTGACTTTGATCCAGTACTTTGGCATGAACTATGCTATCTTACTCCTCTCTACCTAGGTAGGGGACGGATTCTTACAAAAACAAAAATACAACAAAAAGCCATATAGAAGGAGGAAATCAAAAGGGAGTTAAAGAGGAGCGGGCAGCTACTGAAAAATAGCAAAAACAAAAACTATGGAAGTTGATCAGAGCAAAGAAGCAGTCTTGCTGCCCTGTTTGAAAAAGAGTAAGAATAAATGCTTATTAAAAAAAGAAAGAATGCTGAGATAATTAAATTGTAATTTGATGCGTGTCATAAAGCGTACACATATCATACAACTCGAAATGCCGAGGGAGAGAGAAATAAACCAAGAGATAGCATCAGTGTCTGTAAGAAAGAACAGGTTGGGCACTTTTAACATGGCTCCATATTTAGGTAGTGGAAGCCCAGAGTCCATTAAAGATGGCATCTTTCATACAAGACTGAACACAATCAATATGCTCTGCAGGAAGCTCTTCTAATTGCTCACCAGGAAGAAGAATGGTTTCTGCTCTCATCTTCCTAAATGGAGGAAAAAGAGAACAACTTTTTGGTTGTTAGGGAAACCTGGCTCACCACATAGATGGAGGCAATGGTTCTTGGTCCTAAATACATAGGAATGCACAGTGACAAACTAAGTCACAATCAACTGATTCTTGGATTTTTCCCTGTAACCTAACCACCAAGATGATCCACCCCAACATTTATCCTTCTAATCAAGTTTTTTTCCCTTCTTGCCTTCGTTTTTTATTTAAAACATCAGGCAAAGACCGTATAGATACAAGGGAAATCAAGTGCTAAGGAGAGTGTCCAAGTTGGTAATAACAAAGAAAGCATTCCATTTTCTCTCTTCCTTCTAACATTAAGTTCCATTTACTATTTGCCAAAGTGTAAGTCTAAAATTAGTCCTAAGTCTTGGTACGCATGGAAAATATATGCAAATACACATGAGTAAGTGAGAGAGAGTTTATGAATGTATTAGTTAGGAATGCTTTTGGCTATAATAGAAAAAATCTACCGATGGCTTAAATAAAGATTTTGTTTTCCTTCCGTAAGTAGTATTGGGACAGGCAGTTGTGGGCATTAGATTCACTCTGCACATCTCTCTCAACATCTCAAGGTGGCGGCCACAGCTGTAATTAGCACTGCCACACCTGAAGACAAAAGTAAGGGGTTAATGCCAACTGTACCCATCTCTTATTTGAAAGCAAAAGTATTTCTAGAAGTCCTTCGCAGATTTCCAAATATGGCCATATTTCGTTATTGATATTTACATGACCATCCTTAACTATTAGTACTTAGCTTTTCCAGCCTCAGTAATGGGCAAGACAGAAGAGGGATGGGAATGGGTGTTAAATAAGCCTGCCAATAGTCTCTGTCACAGTGCTTACAGATGGGCATGCGTATGCATTAGTGTTTATGTACACATGTGTTTATGTATGCATGTATGTTTATAGATACATACAACACATCCTCTGCTACTTTGCCTGGAGAAACTTGGCTCATCCTGCAAGGCCAAACTCAAAAGTTACTGCTTCTTTGAAGTTTTACTTCTAAAACACGTTTTCCCCTCTGCAGCGCCCTGATAGAACTTTGCTCATCTTTAGACATCTTAATTTATCATATTCAGATTAACTATTTAAACGTACAACTGATAGTTTTGTTCAGGAGTAGGGACCATGTCTTGTTCATCTTTATACTACATCTCCAGAACACTGACAGTCAGCATTCAGTGTTTGTTGAGTTAGTGAAAGTGAGGGAATGACAAAAAAAAAAAAACAAAAAATCCAAAATCTAAATGTTATAAAGTATTGCAGCAATCTAGACCATATTCTTTTCAGTATACTCCAAATAAGTTTTATAGCTATTAGATTCACTTGATGCATGACTTCTTAGTTTATAATACATAAGACAGGAAGGCAAATTCCCTTCTTTAACGAGATAGTATTATTTTATTATCTTTAATGGGAAGCAGATTTGAAATCTATCATAACCTGATGAATAATTATCATCAAGAAGTTCAAGAATGAAAAGGAAGAACAGTTCAGCAACAACTATGCCAACATCACAATTGCTGTATTTCAGCATTTAGACAATGATTCTATCCCCATTCGTTCAGCTACTTTTGGGGCATCTGCAGCTAAATCATCCTGGCCCCCATCCCAGGGAAGATCAGAATATAGCTGGTTCAAATGCCAAATATTCCACAGAAGGCATAAGGTTTTTTAATGATCACAAGGATCGTTCAGTAATACAAGCTCTCAAAATTTTCCAACCTAAAAATTTATTTTTTTTGCGATGTCTCACAAAACTCTGAGGTAAGTAGATAACGGGAGAGCCAAGATGTGAACACATTCACTAGAAATATATAAACAAGTATATTTGTGTATCTTGTAGCTCTAAGGGGAGAAATGAGCTCAGGAAGTATAAAGATATACATTACCATGCACAAATCTAGTAAAAATAAACTGACTGCATTGAAGCCATATTTGAAGGAAGGAAAGCACCTGGTTTGCACAAGTAAAAAAGAAATATTTTTTAAACCAGGTAAAAATAATATAAAGGACTAAAGAGGTAGGGCCAGTGATGTATATGCTCAAAGTCGACAAGCAGGCTAACTTGGGGAGTTTGGGTGACTATGATAACAGGAATTTCTAAAAAGGGTGATGAAACAGTTCTGAATATTCAGCAAAATTGCAGTGGGTCTATTTTGAAGCCTACAGAGGAAAAACTGTGTTCTCAAGCCTGCTAATCTTCCTTTTATCCTAAAAACTCCTTGGGTACAGCACTTACTAATTTTAGTGGAAGGCTCTGCAGCCTCCTTTCCTTTGGCCCTGGTGTCATTATTGTGAGATTAAGATCTTGAGTGATAGGCTGTTCTGCCCCTGGAAATTAATATCTTTAGCTACATAATGACCACTAGAAAAAAAATTTGAACTTTGCGTGTTTTCCTGATCATAATACAGGAGTGTTTAAGCCGTAATCAATTTCATCCCAAACATGTATTACTTTACACAGATGGCCACTAATGGGCACTATGGGAATTACATATTCAGCAAGTGTTGAAACGTGATAAAATTCCCATGGCATTTATGGAATTAAAAAAAAAAAAACCTCAAACACTAATTTTACTTTCAAAATGTCACTATGCCAAAAGTTATAAAGGTTTCAGGTTGATGACTCTTCGACATAATGTAGATTTAATTATCATTGAAAAATCATGAAATAATATTTATTCACCTAGTAAAGCCTCAAGCATCTTATTTTCTCTTTCAGATGTTCATAATGTATGCAGAATTTTTAAAAAGTCTAGAAATGTAAAATTTCTACCCTAGTAAAGATAAAAGGCTTCATGCAGTGTATTTAAAAACTATATGATAAAATGTATTATGATGGATTTAGAAATTATGTTTTTCCCAGTACATGTATATTTTGCTAAATAACAGAACCTCAAAATGACTTATTTCCATATTAGCAAATGTTTGGTTAGTACTTAGATTATTTTGTATTTTTACAAAGTCTGTGATAATATTTCTAAATAATAAAAAGTATAATAATTAAACTCATATCAATTTGGGTTTCAGATTACAACATGGACTATTTGGCAGAAGTTTCTTTAAAGCAAAGAAAGAATGTCGGTAAGCAAAGTTTTCCTACTGGAATAAGTATGAGCAACATTTGGTAACCTCTATTTCAATATGAAATAAGACCGTGAGCAGGAAGATGAAGAAATATTTCCTTACTAGAGAAAATGTATCAAACACTGCCAAGTGCTTTACATTTATTAATTCAGTTAATAGTTTTGGGGAGGTGGAGAAAACTATCCAAGGTCAAACAGAGGTTCAGCTGAGCTACCATGGTAAGAACAAAACCCCAGGAATCAACAAACACCCAAAGACAGCAAATGAGAAGTAAAACTGATTAAACGAAAGTTAGAATTTTATTCAAATCATTTTAAGTTCTTAAATATTTGTTTCTGTTCTTCAGTCTTTGGTAGTAACTTTGTTTCTCTGAATCGGTTTCAGACTTGGTCCTGAGCCACTCCTGCGGAGTGTACCTATTTCCCCGTTTCCACCTTCAGGCTCCGGAGGCACATCTGGGGACTGGCTCCTCTCCACACACACTGGCCTGCACCCATTCTTTCACAGATACTCTCTGAGCAGGTAGTTCTTGGCAAAATGGTGGGATCCAACAATGAGTTCCTTCCTCTGGGCAATGTACATTTTTGAATGTACCAGTAGAGATTCTTCTTGGGATTCCCCCTAGCTTTCTGATTGTACCTCCTTTCCTTTTACTGGTGTCTGTTTCTCCTAGACCCCAGCTGCCTGGCTAGCATCAAGGCCCAAGTAAGTAGCCATGGGACCAGGAACCTCGAGTGGTGGTTGTCAGTCACCTGAAGGGCTTAGGACACACACATCACTAGGCCCCAAACCCAGAATTTCTCGCTGAGTAGGTCTGAGGTGAGACCCGGAAATATGCCCCGGTAATGGTGCTAAGGGCCTGAGGACCGAGCTCTAACAACCGTGTAGGTAGAGCAAGGTTGACAAAATGCTCCTGTAAGAGCACAGAGGGCAAGTATTTTAGGGTTTGAGGGCTGTGCATTCTCTGCTGCAACAACTTAAACCCTGCAAAATGGCATGAAAACAGCCAAAGACTGTGTAAACAAGTGGTTGTAGTTGTGTTCCAATAAAACTTTATTTACAGAACCAGGCAGTGGGTGCATCTGGCCGTTGTGCCGGAGTTTGCAGGCCCCCCTCTGCAGAATGCCTGCCTGACTGCTCTGGATATTTCCCTGTCCAAATCTTACCCTTCTTCTTTAGCATGGCC